ACACTGGAGCGAGCTCTGGGGCACGAGCCGACACTGGAGCGAGCTCTGGGGCACGAGCCGACACTGGAGCGAGCTCTGGGGCACGAGCCGACACTGGAGCGAGCTCTGGGGCACGAGCCGACACTGGAGCGAGCTCTGGGGCACGAGCCGACACTGGAGCGAGCTCTGGGGCACGAGCCGACACTGGAGCGAGCTCTGGGGCACGAGCCGACACTGGAGCGAGGTCTGGGGCACGAGCCGACACTGAAGCGAACACTCGGGCACACTCTCGGGCGAAGAAGAGGGCCCTGAGCCAGTCATTTCTCCTCTTCCTCCTCTTCTGATTACGGGTGAACTGGGCGGCCGGCGTGCTTGTCGTTGCGGTGGCCGGCAGGCTTGGGTCAACAGCGGCCGGCGGGCTTGACAACGGCGGGGCGAAGCGTGCGGCGGTTTCCATGCTGCGGGGAAAAACAGGAAAACAAAACACTTCCAAAACCCAAAAACAAACACGGGGAGAAGGGGCGCCGCTAACTGTCTCTGGTCGGTATTCTGTCACGGTTGCACTACTGTGAGGAGTGCGGAGCGAGGAACGAAGGAGTCGAGGAGTACATCAATCGAGAGATTTTAATGAATGCAAGGAAACACGGAAAACACACGTAGCAATCGGACGAACAATACCGGACAAGGAACTCAAAACAGGAAACACTTTAAATACACAACTTAATCAGGGGAAGACGAGACACACCTGGAATCAAATGAGAAACAATCAGGGAGCAGGAACAGGAAGAAAACCAAATAAGGGCAAGGAAGGCACATGGGGAGCAAAACACACACAAAACAAGGAACAAAGTCTGACAATAGTATGCAGTGTTTCATAAACAGCTGTTTTACTAAATTCTGCTGAGGTGAAATTCAATGCAGTCCTGTATCGTGATACGTATCGTATCGTGACTTTACTGGTGATACACAGCCCTAATTTTTACATATTCCATTATAATTTACAGATTACAACAAACCTTTCTGCCGTCATTTGATATAAGCAACATACACTTCCATTCAAAAGTTTGGGGTCGGTAAGATTTTTTCATGTTTCTGAAAGGAAAGAAATGTCTTATACACACCAATGCTACATTCATTTAATCAAAAACACAGTCAAGAAGTCACAGTCACAATCAAAAAGAGCAATTTCTTGTAATTTAATATGCAATTTCTTTAAATGTAATTTATTTGTGATTTCAAAGCTGAATTTTCAGCATCATTACTCCAGTCTTCAGTGTCATATGATCCTTCAGAAATCATTCTAATGTGCTGATTTGCTGCTCAAAAAACATTTCTGATTATTATTAATTGAAAACAGTTGAGTTGCTTAATATTTTTGTGGAAACAATGATATCCATTTTTTTTCAGGATTTGTTGATGAATCGAATTTAAAAAAAACAACAACATTATTTATTTAGTTAGTTACTTAGTTTATCTTTTGTCCATAACAAAGTCGTTACTGTCACTTTGGATTTATTTCTATCAAGCAAAAAAAAAAAAAACTTTACTGACCCCAAACTTTTGAACAGTAGTGTACATATTTGTGCTAACTAGGGATGTGCCTAAAGTTGAATATCTTATTATAATAACGCAATAATGTAAATACGCAATAATAGGTGTGTGATGTGAATGAGTGTAAACACAGACTGACCTGTGAACAGGTGTGGGAATTTGATGGGTAGAATGACAGCTTCTTTCAGGGCTTCTTTTGCCCCCTCCAGTCCGGCCACATCACTCCACCTCACATTGGGCTTCTCCATCACAATCGCACCTGAAACATCAACAAACATCTCATCATCATGATCCTAAGCAAGACTGCAAGCGTGTTTTCCTTTGCATTAACACAATAAAGCAATAAGCCCCAAGAAGCCGTGGTTTACAGTGAATATATAACAGCTAAGGGGCGTTGTTAGGCATGACACGAAGCGGATTCACGGGGCTTATTGCTTTTATAAAACGGTTATTCCATATGCATAGTAAGGTTTCACAAAATAAAACAGAGCAAATAAAGTGTAATGATATTAATAAAAACAGTATTCTTCCACCAAACAATGTAGTTCCTCAGAATCAAGGATCGGAACTCTCCGTTTTATAATGATACTTTTAAGACACAAAGACTCACCCATTAGATGATCCTGGAGTTTCTTTTTTTCAGGATTTTCTCCCTCACTGTCACTGTCACTTCTGTGCACGCACACGCACACACACACACACACAGTTTATCACTGTGAGCAATGGACATGATTCTTCAACAACATCCAGCAGAACAAATAACAAATGAAAGCGTACTTGTCATTGCTCTGTGTTTCCTTCACTGGTTTCTTGCCCTGTTTGTCCTTGTTTTTCAAGTAGTCCTTGAGTTTCTCGGCTCTGTCCAGATACTGCATACATTTACCACGGATGCTTTCCTTCGCCTTGTCACTGTGTGCTTCATCTGAGAAACAAAAGGATCAATAGTGCGTCTTTAAATATTTCATAAGAAATGTTACATTTACACATTTATTACATGTAAAATGTAATTACATTTTCATCCAACTTTCAGTAACTCCCCGCATGAATGACTGAAAGGGAAGTAATTTTACAACCTATTGGATGTGAGTTTGCAGTGGACTGTGGATTTGCAGGACTCTCAATACAAGGCCAGATCCCAATGCTAACACTTCTTTTTCGAATCTCTCGTTATTAGCTCTTTAACATGAACCAATAGCCTGCCAGGCCTTGGTGACATCAGCCAAACAAGAGAGTTGTTTCAGAGGCGGAGCCTCAACATTTTGATGAAAAACAAAGATGAACTTTGTTTCCAATTAACTGTGTACAATAAGATTTTCAGAAAGTAAATAGGGTTAATTTTGAGTTCATTTGGAATAACATTCAGAAGATGTAGTTCACTCACACTTGATGGCGTGCAGGAAATACTCCACAGCATGCTGGTAGAGTCTCAGCGCCTCCTCATAGTTCTTGGCCTTGTCCTCCTCTGTGGCTTTAGTGACCAGCTCAATCGCTTTCTGAACATGACAAATGACAGAGCTACTGACGGCTCTACGAACTGACAAGACTAATCTATGATTTATAAGGGCTCATTCCACATCAACTCAACCAGAGGTTCGTGGATTGAAATGTTGTTTTTGATTTTCTTTCTTTTTTCTTCAGGTGAAAGAACAAATAATGTCAAATATTCGCTTATTTTTTTAAGAGTGTTGAAAATGACATTTTCCAGTTAATATTTAAAGCAAAAGTCAAGCTCTAAAAAGACCTCTCGGAAGACTGCAGCTTCATTCTGTAAACAAATATTATAAGTATATTAAAAGAAAATTGTTGTGTCTGCACCCCCAGAGCAAACTACCCTTTTGGTATATTCATACTGAACGCCCCAAACAGTTGTGAGATGTAAAGATGTGGGGCTGCATGTGTAAGTCATTAAATATTCATTGGCTGAAAACCAGATGGTATCTGTGCTGACCTTTTCCAAAAACACAGCAGTCTACAGTACAAGTTTTGCTGAAATTAGAAACGTACATAAAAAAAATTTTTTTAAATCTTGCATTTTTAGAGTTTGAGAAAAAGATGTTAAAACCCATGTATTCATTTTAAGAATAAAAAGGTGTATTTGATTGAGGGAAACAAGATAAATTTATAGTTTAAAAATCATTTGTTTATCAGACATTCCTCTTTGGACACTAAACGAACTGAGTTTTGGACAATAAAATCATACAATTTAAAAGTTACAACAACAATTAAACAGGCCCATATGCCATGCACATGCATCCTCGAGGCAATAAATGAAATACTTATTTAAGTATTGCCTTGAGAATATATGTACCCTAACAGAATACATGTATCCTAATAACAGTCTATTCTGAACCTGAAAAACAAAGGATATTCACTTCGTTTCAAAACATTTGGAGTAATATCCACCCAACTTTTTGTGTTAGCCTAATTTTTTGATTAAATTCATTGGTATATAATGGGTGCTTTTTTTCATAGTTTTGCTCCACATAATAGGTAAAAAAAATTATTTTTAACCCCCGTAGAAAGTAATGCATTACTTAGTAAATACTGCTCAATGCATCACAATTTATGTACATCTTTCTTCCAAAATAAACTAATTAAAATAATAATAAAATCAAAACTATCCCCTGGTGAGGCTTCAGAAATTTGGTTGATTTCATATAGAATAATTCATAAGTATAAATAGATTATTATAGCAGCCATTCCAAAATGCACCAAGTGTCAGTTGCAAAATATGCAGCCGAGCAAATGGTGCTCGATTTCCAAAAATATATTTGTAAATACTAAGTAAAATATGAGTTCATCTAAATTCAGCAATTCTGCGTACATCTAACTTAAACTCTTATACGTTTATATTTGGCGGTTTTCAAATTTAGTATTATAACTGTGGGCAATAACTGTCAGACTCCTGCCAACAGCTTTGCTATATATTTTACTGTTTATTCTTCTCGTGTAACTACTTATTTGATTTCAGCAATTGTGTGTATATTTGATTTACTGTCATTAAATCGTAGACCCACAGACTGACAGATTAATCTTAGGCTTATAGCTAATAAACAAATCTACAGCAGCTGTTCACAAATGACTTCATGAAAGCATGACGAACTTAAACATATTTCGAGAGACATCTCTTACAAAATTGTAGCTTAGTCCTACATTCAATAGATCTTACAAATGAATATGAACTGAAGTGAGGTTTGTTTACATGGTTGCTTATGTTATCATAACATATTCTCCGATGATTTCTGGTATGTTTACAACGTTGATCGCTGCTGATGTGTGTGAATTATAAACGGTCAGTGATTACAGTTAATTTGTTCAGTCAATGCTCAGTTTATGATATGATTAGATGAGGATGATGATGATGAACTACAGCTAAAGCTAATGTAACTTCACCTGCAGTGTTGACGTTGTCATTTCATCTCACGCGCCAGCGGTTTCACTGCGGTGTCCTATTATTGGTATTTATAGTATATTCAAATTGTTCGTTAAACAACGAGAGCAACAAAACAATTATATTAATGAAGGTTCATATAATGAGATAGATAAGTGAACATAGAAACGGAAGATGCTACCCTCCAGTGTTCACTCCTGTACTGTCCTCCGGAAACAAAAGTTCAACGCTTTAGTTCCATATCAAAACAATTCTAAATAACACTCATTTAATTTACATGTTTTTATTTATATATGCCATTTACATAAAGACATAATGCATAGCTTCAGGTTACAGGCTTTGGAAGTTATAATACATATACAAACAAATAAGCATTTTTGCATTTGATTGTGTGCTGCAAGCTGCCACAAGTGAACTTTGGTTCAAACCTTATCGCCTCAAAATAAAGACAAATCAAGCTATTAACTAAAAATGCGGAACAAATAATGAAACTGAGGCATGTATCTATGGGTTTATAAAGTACATTCATAGTCCGAAGCATTGGTCATGTCAAATATCAGGCTGACAGCTTCAAACATCTCACACATTTGTAAACCTGGCAAGTGTTTAACACGGTTTCATAGTTAAGACAAAGCACAATGCAGTGGTTCTTCAGTAAGCGGTCTGATGTCATAACATAGAAGATAATTATGTGACAGCACATAATGTCCAAAACTATGACTGATCAACAACCACAGAGAGTGAAAGAATAATCGGCCAAAAGCATCACACATTTCTTTTAATGGACATTTCAGAAGAAACAAGGAAGGTTCCCATATGAGTGAAAACTCTTTTCCCCCTGATTTAGAAATATTTATGATATTAGTATGTACAAGAGACTATAAAAGTTTAAGGGCACTTAAAGCATCAAATAGGTTGTATGTGTGGTCCTTGTGCAGATACATGTTTTTTTGCTTTTTTAAATGGACCTAACCATCTCATTTGTGCAATGACCCTTATGCTAAAATAAGAAATATTAAAATATAGAGATATTGCTTCTGTTAAGCTTGCATGAGCGATGGTTATGAATAAATGCTGTTCATACAATCTCACTTTCAAAACGTCATTACCTCCATATATTGTCACATTGTTCATATTCTTTTCCTACAAGAACCTACTGCCTCCACTGTGCATGTTTCCTAATGCATTATACTTATGAGGGCATGTCAGCACTGCCCCAATCTGCAAACTCTTAAACTACGGTGTCTGTGACTGAAGTGATGGGTTCATATAGATCCTGTGCTCAAACTCAGTTTGCATTACATGCCTTACATAAAAATATTAAATGTTAATAAAGAATATATACTGATGCTATACTGATAGACATAAAACATACACGCCACGAAAAAACGCATATCAGTGCTAATAACATGATGGTCCCCACACGTTCTGAACGATAAATTTCCATGACGTCGCCAGTCTTGCCTGATAACTGGATTAGTATTATTTAAAGCCATTTTATAAAGATTGTACTCACAAAAAGCAAAGCTCTTCAGAGCTATATATATATATATATATAACTAGAAAATGTATACTGACTATAGAAATAGGGCTTTTTCCTCATGATGTATTTAATAATAATGTGTTTTCATTAATTTCCTTCACATTTCCAAGCCTGGACATCAGAATTTTAAAATTCCCTGATATTTCCCAGTTTTTTATGACAGTGGGAAGCCTGTAATAAGAACTAAATACTCATCAAATGCTGATCAAGAAGCATTAATGTCGCACAGCAAAATAAAAAAATCAAGGCCTGGAGCAGGTTTGGTCATAAATGTGGAAAAACATTTCTTATGACATGCAGAGAACAGATAAACGAATAAAACATTCCTATATTTATAAAAAAAAAATATATATATATCCAAAAAATTAATTCGATCCTATTCAACACCTTATAGAGTTAACTTTAAGGAGGTTATTTTTGGTCAGTCATGAAGGGAATGTATTTAAAGCTTCATTTTCTCCATATTTGCAGGAATGGCAGTCTGCCACATATTCATTAAGATTATAGCACACAGATGTAACAGTCTTTGCCATGCAATACATATAAACATAAATACAGGTGAGATACATGAAAAACAAACATAGATAATACAAGAATAATATGTTCATTTTGGTTATTCTGCAAAGCCTGAACATTTTCTGTAAAGCTTGTTGGCTCTAGATGAGAAGGCACGATAGGTGTTCCTGATCAGAGGAAAGTGGGATTGTTTTTTGCCTTTGAAAGCCACACACACACACAACCACTGAACAAATGTGTTAGGTAGAAGAGAAGTAGATCTATGAAAACACTGCTCGAGTAAAATACTAGCTGTCAATAAATCAACGAAATAAATGAACCTCCATCATTTCCTGTTGATCCTATGTGAGCAGTCCCAAACGAGCCAGTTTGGCTGAGAGAAACGAATGAAGCACAAAGACCACAGGCTTCGGTCCCGAGTGAAGCTCAAACACCTGCGGAGACAGAAAGATAGAAACACAGATTATTATGAAAACTATACAGGCATCCTACACCTTTTGACTAATGATTGCACTACATTTCTACTCGCTCTGAATTACATCATTTTTTAGAGACTACCCACACAAAATAAACAGATGAATGAATGAATGAACAAATGAATGAGGCCTTAATGAGTGTAAGTCTGTTGGTCTATTGTTTTGTAATGTCAGGAGGACCAAAAAAAAATTCCATTCATTAAGACCACAATTTCATGTCCATTTCATCACAGGTAAATATCATACTGTACTGCGTGTCTGATTGGTCCTACCATCTCGCCCTGTGGAGCACCGAAGTCCAGGTAGAGATTCCTAACTCCATCATCTGCGGACATCTTGAGCCGTTCATAGGGGAAGTGAAAGAGCACGGATTCGCCAGATTCCCGCTTCACAGTGAACCCTCTGTCATAATGCAGGATCAGACGCACTTCCTGTCTGTTCAGCACACAGCCTGAGGAGCGCAGACGGACAGATGGATATAAGGATATGAACCACAAGAAGGTGAATTAATGTGATTTTATGTTTTCTTTGCTGGCTGGAACTCAGGAAGGAAAGCACGCAATATTTCCAACATTTCCCCCAGCCAGCTATTGTTACACACCACAGAGCGAGAGAAAAATTTTTTTTCAATCCAGCATTTTTCCACTCAGTTGTCCCTTTACTAAATAAGACCCTCGGTTACTCAGACAAGTCTTACAGAACATCCAACAGGAATGAATTTGGACGTTTCAGTGAATAACACGATACTTGGTAAAATGTGCTTATAATGTTGCACAAATTAAATGGATATTAATCTTACAAGACCTGGCATAAGGTGTGACATTGCAAAGCATTCTAGCTGGTGTTTATCTTTAAAGAAACTGGTAAATTACACAGTAGCGAGATTACAAACTGAATCATTTCATTGCAATTAGAATGACATGGTACTTGAAGTATTTAGTTAGCATCAGTAAACCATAAAGAAACATTAAATGCATGTAGGTGCACTACTGGTTTTATACAATATTGATAATGTTGATTACCACAAAAATTAACTATCACTAAGTTGTTTTTAAGACAAAAAAAAAATGCAAAAATCCAGCTGTTTCAATAGTAGCCACAAGGCGTAAACAATGTGCTTGTTAACATGATTTTGTTTGAGAAAAAGAATGCCTATTAAACTTTTCCGTGGAAAGCTGTAGAAAATTTTACAACTTTGTTGCCACAGAAATGTAAAAACCTAAAACTGAGAATGCATAACCTATACCAAATCTAGAATTTTCCTTTAAACTTATTTAAATTTAGAAAAGAGATTCAAAGATTGCATCTTTGAGTAGCTTGTGCCACTATTATACACTGATTAAAGGGGTCATATGATGCGATTTCAATTTTTCCTTTCTCTTTGGAGTGTTACAAGCTCTTGGTGCATAAAGAAGATCTGTAAAGTTGCAAAGACTAAAGTCTCAAATCCAAAGAGATATTCTTTATAAAAGTTAAGAGTCAACCACGCCAACCTAAAACGGCTCGTTCTAACACGTGAAGCGGAGTCCAGCCCGGGGTCGCCACATGTGGTTGCCGCAAGCCCGCACGCCGCTCCTTCGTCAAATCCGCCGGCCACGCCGTTCTCAAGCCCGCCGGGCTCCGCTCACTCTAGCCGCCGTGTGTGATGCAATGGAGGACCGTTTCCTGAACCTGCAGAGTAGCCTACAATGCGTCTCTGCTCAAAGACCGTTTCTTTAAAGTGAGTTTTGGGCAGTGTAGAGTAGCGCTTGTTGTTTGTCATTTCTCCGATCACAAATGCAGATGACCCCTTTAAAAATTATAGTCATTTTGTTTTTTATTGTTCACAGTAAGATCTATAACATGCATTTAGAAAATAGACAGGGTGAATTTTCATTTCATGCAGAAACTACTCAAACACACAGGACTTCTACAAGCTGTAGAAGCAATACAAGCTGTCTAATAATAATACAGGCATGACCACGGTTACTAAGGTAGGATTGATAAGTAATGTTTTTAAGACGGCTCTTAGCAAAGGGAAGATTTTCTTCTTTGTATATTCACACACACACACACACACACACACACACACACACCTATGGACACCTCTTTGATGAGTTCAGCAGCCAGATGTCCGCCCTGCACCAGTGCACGTGTCCATGTGGACAGATCCCAGTGTGTCTCCACACGAAACACATGAGACTCGATGCCTCGACCTGTGCCTGTACGTGTGGCGAACACCAGATCTCCACCCAGAGCCGGAGAGCTGCGCACACTGCCCGAGTGAACCAGCCTGCAGACAGAGACAAATACTCTTCATGAAACACGAATGACAGAGCTGTGTGAGTTTATTCAGAACACAAACTTATATTTCATTTTTTTTAAATGGGATGTTTTTACAGTAAATTACGCCTGCACAAAGCTTTACTGAAGTAAGAGTTTGACCGTGTAGCGAGCAGTGGATGGGTCAGGAGAGGTGAGGACCAGCTCTCATATGTCCACGGCACTGACTGGAACAGCAGGAGGTCTTTCTCTGTGAGCGCCATGAGCACTCGTCTGTACTGATGCCGCCCACCATCCAGCTCCAGCTGCACACAGACACAACAACCAACCATTCAATTCATAATCCATACCATTTCCATATGGCGAAGGAAAAATGGGTCATGATTAATGCTGGAAATTATACAGGAAACATATTATCTATATTATCGAATAG